CGCAGTCACGCCGTGCGCGGTACCCGCCACCTTGAAGTCCATGTCGCCCAGATGGTCCTCGTCGCCGAGGATGTCGGTGAGCACCGCGAATTTGTTGCCTTCGAGGATCAGCCCCATCGCGATACCGGCGACGTGTGCCTTCATCGGCACGCCGGCGTCCATCAGCGCCAAGCAGCCACCGCATACCGAAGCCATCGACGACGAGCCGTTCGATTCGGTGATTTCGGACACGACGCGGATCGTGTAGCCGAATTCGTCATCCCCCGGCAGGCACGCTGCGAGCGAGCGCTTGGCCAACCGACCGTGGCCGATCTCGCGGCGCTTCGGCGAACCGACGCGGCCGGTTTCGCCGGTCGCGAACGGCGGCATGTTGTAGTGCAACATGAAACGCTCTCGATATTCGCCTTCGATCGCATCGATGACCTGCTCGTCACCCTTTGTGCCAAGCGTCGCAACCACCAATGCCTGCGTCTCGCCACGCGTGAACAGCGCCGAGCCGTGCGTACGCGGCAGCACGCCGGTACGGATCTCGATCGGACGCACGGTGCAGGTGTCGCGTCCATCGATGCGCGGCTCGCCGTTCAAGATCTGGCTGCGCACAATCTTCGCCTCGAGATCGAACAGGATGTTGCCAACCGTCGCGGCGTCGGCCACGGCCGCGCCGCACGCGGTCGCTTCGTCAGCCAGCTTCGCGCCGACTGCCGCATACACTTCTTTGAGCTTGGCCGAGCGTTGCTGCTTCTGCCGGATCTGGTACGCAGCCTGCAATTCGGTAAGCGCAAGCTGCGTCACGCGGGCAATCAGCGCTTCGTCCTTCGGCGCTGGCAGCCAGTCCCATTCGGGCTTGCCGCCGTCCTTGACCAGTTCGTGGATCGCGTCGATCGCGACCTGCATCTGCTCATGGCCAAACACCACCGCACCGAGCATCACCTCTTCCGGCAGTTGGTCCGCCTCGGACTCGACCATCAGCACCGCGCGCTCGGTACCCGCGACAACCAGGTCCAGCTTCGATGCCTTCGACTGCGAACGGGTCGGATTGAGCACGAACTGATTGTCGATATACGCGACACGCGCCGCGCCGATCGGCCCGCTGAACGGAATGCCCGAAATCGCCAGCGCAGCCGATGCGCCGATCATCGACGGGATGTCGGCCGGAATGTCCGGATTAACCGACAGCACGTGGATCACGACCTGGACTTCATTGTAGAACCCTTCCGGAAACAGCGGACGCAGCGGGCGGTCGATCAGGCGCGAGATCAGCGTCTCGCCCTCGGAAGGACGGCCCTCGCGGCGAAAGAAGCCGCCCGGGATCTTGCCAGCCGCATACGTCTTCTCGATGTAGTCGACGGTCAGCGGGAAAAAGTCCTGGCCCGGCTTGGCCGACTTTGCGGCGACGACCGTCGCAAGCACAACCGTATCCTCGACGTCGACGAGCACGGCGCCGCTTGCCTGACGAGCGATCTCACCCGTTTCGAGCCGCACGTTGTGCTGGCCCCATTTGAATTCTTTGATAATCTTATTGAACATTTCCACTCCTTCGAGACGCCGCGCACGCGCGCGGCCAGTCCGCAGACCCTTTCCAAACGATTGCCGGCCGCTCGAAAGCGGGGAAGTGTATGTCATTCCAGCGCGGCACCCCCACCGCTGCCGCGCTGGAATGACACAAAACCCCGCCTCGCTTGCCGGACGCACGGCGCGGATGCGCGTGCGAAACCTCAT